ACTAACTGCGCTTCGCATGACTACACCTTTATGCAAACAGCGGTAAGTTAGTTTACTGAAAAAGTAAATGACATGATTTTGTAGATTTCTAATATTAAAAGGGTTTCGTCTGAAAGATATCAGATGCACTTAATGCTGTAGGGATCACAACAACTTCAATGGCTTAATAGTCAAGAGTGTGGTCTCCAACCGAATATTGATTTTGAACCGATACAAGATCGTATGAATAAACGGAATATCCGAGTGAATTATTTGTTTATCTCTGCATATCGACATGTAATTTGTTTTTTTCTTCAAGTGATGAAAAAATAAAAAGTCACGTTTCATTGATGCATGATGCTAAAGTCAGATAATATATTCTGCCCAATATTGTTATTTCGTTTACTTGAACTTGATCCATAATTCTTTTTATATCCAACTTATATTGTTAATATATATTTTAATCTTTGAAACTATATTACTATTATATAAAACGTAAGTACCTGTATATTTATTTATCCGGCAGGTATTATGTATACATATTCTTGTAGTCATTAATAAAATCACGTGGCTAATGTATCTTTATAAATGATAAGAAGCATTACTAGCCCTAGAAATTTTAAATTCTCGAATACGGGGGGAGATTTATAAGAAAGTATTATGAATCTCAGAAATTTTAAATTTATGTATTGTTACAATAGTAACAATAATTTCACAAATTTGAGAAAAATCATAACTTTCAAAAATAGCAGAAAAACAGAAAATCTCTAAAAATATTGAAAATATGAAAAATAGTAAAAATAACTCAATAAATATTAGTATTTTACCTTTTAGTTTACTATTATTATTATCTTTTATTTTACTTTTATCATTATTTTACCTTTTATTTTATCTGTCATTTTACTCTCATCTTTTATTTTATCTTTTATTTTATTTTTATCTTAATTATTTTACTTTTAGATAGTTATTATATCTGAAATTATATTTTCGAAAAATATATAAATAGAGATGCTATCTGAGTCTTAATTTGATATGTTGCAAGTGAAAAATAAAAATCTCTTAACAAAAATCTTTTCAAATAATATTTATCTCTTTCATTTTTTAATTATATATATTAAAGCTGTATACAAGTAATTTTAAATTGTATTGTACTAAATAAAATATTATTATTGTATTATTGGTTTTATAATTATTATTATTAATTGTATTATCTTAGCTCTGAAAAACTTTATACAAGTACAGAGAATTAGCATCTCAAAATTCTTTTTATTATTTATTCTCTTATTTTCTCTCTCCTCTTTTTGATCTTTATTCTTTCACAACTCTTTTATATTATTATTATATCTTTGATTATTATAATTTTTATAAAAATTAATATAAAATTTAGATACTCTTTTTTCTTTTAATACTTGTTTATTATTTAATTCTCTTTTTTAACTCAGTTCCAAGTTTGTAAGCTAATTTAAAAATTAGTAAACAAACTTGTAATTGTATATTAAAATTATATAAAATGAAAGAAAAAATATTATTTATTGATTTCATATTAAAAAATATATACAATTAAAAATGATAATGATTTTTCAGCTTATTATTAGAAAATTTAATATAAATAAATTTTAAATATAAAATAAAATAAATATAGTTTATTTTTAATTTTACTAATTTTTAAAAATAATATATCATTAATATCAAGAAAATAAAGTGAAATTATTCTTAAAATATTATGAATTAATATAAATAATTATTAGAACTATTAGAAAAATCAGGAATTTATTTGTAATAGTTTTTTATATTTTTTATACTTTAAAATTTTTTGTTAATTATTTTTTTATATATAAAAACAAGATATAATTTATTATTTAATTAAAATGATAATACTTATTTTAATTAGTTATATTATTATTTTACAAATTACAATACAACAAAAGCAAAAAATTTTGTTTTAATTTTTTTATAATTTCATCTTATATTCTTAAAAATTTTTCAAATTTATAAATTATATAGTTTAAAAATTGAATTTTTTTAAATATTATGCAAAAAAGTATTATAATTATAAATATTTTTTATTCATATATTTCAATTATATAATAAATTATAAAGAAAATCTTTGTATTTAATAATTTTTTATATATTTATATAGTGCTCCAACCGGGTCAAATCCAATTCGTAATCTGATCCGGAACGCACATTTCGGGTCAGGTCAGATCGGGATCAAACATTTCGAGTCAGCATAAAAAACGTTACTTCTCATTCAATATTAATTGGAATGAAACAAAAATTTGTGGGTATATACACAATTACATTCCGAACAACTTAGACACAAAATACAAGTGTCTTAGTAAAAATAAAAGTTATTAACGAAATCTATTTTACGATTTTTGGATCAAATCCGATCCGAATCTGACCTGACCCGAAATTATCGGTTCAGGTTGACCTCAAACCCGACCTGAACAGAGCTTTAATTTTATATAATTTTAATATTTTTCTATATTTGTTAATTTTATTTAATTATTTTATTATATAATTATATTATAAGTTTTGGTAATTCTAAAACTTCTTTATTATTTGATAATTTATTGTATGTATTAAATAAAAAGAAAATTATATTAAATAAAATTAATTTATTATATATATAGTGACAATTAAATAAAATACAATAAAAAATTCAATATAATATAGTAAAAATATAAAAAATATAGATTTTCTTTTCATACTAATAAATATTTTTTAATTTTATATTAAAATAAAAATAATATTATATATTTTAATATATAATTAACTCTCTTTATTATCAATTTCTTTAGTATTAATATCTTTTTATTATCAAATTTATTGCAAAACAAATTCACTTGAATTATTATATTGATATTAACTCTAAGCTCGAAGTTATTAATTCTCTTATATATTAACAAAAATGTTTAGTTTTATTATATATATTGACAATAAAGAGAGATGACTATATTTTTTAAATTAATTTTTATATGATATTCTCTAATTACATATAATTTTTTGTGTTTTAATTACAAAAAATTATTGACTTTATATACAATTAGAAAATGTCATGCAAAAATTAAATCTAAAAAATATATGCTAAAATATTATTGTATGCATTCATAATTAGATATAATTAATAATTTTATCTATAACAATTAAGATGAGAGAGTATATAGACTGATTTATATTCATTCATTATCTAATTCTTGTGCTGATATTTACAAATATTGTTAGATTTAGTAATATTAAAAGAGCTTTACATGGATTTGTATTTAGATAAGAGAATTTGAGAGAGTCAGTTTTTTTTAATTTAAGAAACTTCTATTAACAATATTTAATAATAATAATTGCTTTTTTAGATAAATAACTATTTTACATAATGTGTTCTACTATCAATCAATATATCAATAATAATATCTTTTCTGAATCAAAGAATCTAACCATTAATTGTTTTAATCTTTTAACAAAGTTATACTATAATGTGAAAGAATTATATACAATTATTTCATTTTATAAGAGTTACATTACTTGAAGAAAAATTGTACATAATTAATTTTTATTAATGTCTGTGAGAATTTTGATTTTTACAGTGTAGAGTAAGAGTGTTGTTTTAGATTTTATTACTATATATACTATTGAAGAGAAAGAATCTTTTAAGAAAAAGGAAAAAATAAAATTAATCAAAAGTGAAATCATAATTATAATCAAGCATGAAAATAAAAGTGAAGTGAAACAATGAGAAATGGAAATGAATTCGTGAATAAAAGATGACAAAGTCAAAAGCAAAAAATGTGAAGATTGTGATCTAAAGATCAGTTAATAATGAACAACAGATGATAATGAAAGCGAAAAATGAATGAATAACTAAAAAAAGATAAAATGAGTAATGAAAAATGAGCTGACAATCAAATATGAAAGTGAAAAATGTAAACAAAAAAAAAAGGTAGACAAAAGCAAAAAATAGGAAAACAATTACAAGTGAAAAACATGTAGATGAAAAGCGAATTTTGTAAACAAATTACTTTTTTGGAAAGAGGAAAACAGGAGTCAATTTAAAATAGAAAGAATGGGACATTATACTAAGGAGCCCAGATAATTGAAATGACTTGTTGGGATCAGGACAAATAGGCTCCTTCAGAAATTACGAGATCAATAAAATTCGTTACACTTTGATAACAATATATAAAAATAAAAAATATTAGTAAAATTAAAAAACTTTTATATAGAAAAAACTTGTTTTTACTAAGTTATATTCATAAATTTTTTGCTGTTGCATTTTTTTAATTTATCAGTGTTACTACGTAGTAAGTATTATATATTATATATAAATGATTTTATTAATGATATGATTCCACCAGTGTATACGTTATACTTACCAAACAACTTTATACATGTATATAAGCAGAAAGTTAATAATACAAAAAATAATCTCTGTAAGTCTTTGAATTTTCTTTGTGTTTCAATATTAAATTTCTTATTTTATTATTAAGTAAGCTTAATAATTTGGTGTCTCATCTAAATTTTATTCAAATACCAAAATTAAAAAATAAATTAAATACTCCAAGAAAATGAAGTGTTGTTTACAGTATGCATATATATTTCTAGTTCTCATCATTCTAATAAGATGTAAATTGAAATTAATCAATTGAAATGTACATTAATAAATCACACTTTAATAGAACTTTATTTTGAACAGTATTTAAAAGAAATTCTAATCAGTTATTGCTAAATCAATTCGGATTCTTTCAAAATTTACAAATTCAATATACAACAAGGAAAAAATCTTGTATTATTTAAAATCGATTCCAACTGGCTAATTACGAAGTGTTTTTTACAGAGAAAATGGCTCATTTTTTAATATCCCTACAAAGAGTTGCTTTGTTTTATATTTAAGAAATTTGTTTCTGCGAATTAACTGAGAATTCCTTGAATTTTTGTGAATTAAAAGAATTCATCTTAAATTACGTGATACAAATTAACGTTAATAATAGATACATGTATACTAGAATAATAAATAGAATCTAGCATCAATATAATGCTGTTTCATCACAGTTGAATACATCTTGAGGTTCATAATCTTTGATTATATCTTGAAGTTTCTCACGGAACTTTGGAATTTCATTCATATTGACACTACCAGATTCACCACATTTTTTGTAGGACTTCAAATTATTTTGTTGTTTAAATTGCTGATCCAACCCACAGAAGCTAGAAACTTGTCAGAAACTTCGAATTCTTTGGCAAATATCAAGGCTTTTTCCATCAGCAAACTATCACTCAAATCCAAGTCACTTCGTGCTAATATATTTTCCACTCAAATTTTCATTGTTTCTTCAATACCATCATAGGTTGCTCTTCGTGCACGTTTGGAGTTGGCTAAAGTTGTTCCTGATTCAATTTTTACCCACTGCTCTTTTGCTTTGACGATATCAGAAACAGATTGCTTTGATATTCCATACTCGGCGGCAATATCTTTTTGTTTCAAATCCTGTCATTTGCAAGACGTTCGCAAATTTCTTTTTTTTTGAAGTGCTGTTAACGAAACACAAACCTTTTTTGTCTTTTCGGCTGAGTTAGTTGTTGCTGCCTTTTGTTTAACAATTTGTATTATTCGGAGCTTGGTTGTTTGATGTTGGAGTGAGGAGAAAAGAGGGAAGAAGCGAGTTCATTTTCAGTAGCCATAAAAATCAATTATGATTTAATGATTGGTAGGTGACTTAACGGAGTCTATTACTATCGCTATTATTATTATGCAAACTCACGTGATTAAACATTCAATTCATCAGTCTTTTTTAAATACATGTAGGTGTAACCATACTAGTGTAGAGTCCTTTTTACATAGGTGTAACTAAAGATGGCGTCTCAACTTGTTGCGATTCACGACAACCAATCAGAGAATTGCGACGTAGTTATAACCATACTGACTTTATGCACTATCTGTAATTACTGATACATGTACATGTACTTTATGCACTATCTGGAATTATCAACTCGTTGCGATTCACGACAACCAATCAGAGAATTGCGACGTAGTTATAACCATACTGACTTTATGCACTATCTGTAATTACTGATACATGTACATGTACTTTATGCACTATCTGGAATTAACCATAAAGATGCATCTCAACTCGTTGCGATTCACGACAACCAATACAATATTTACATAAAAATAAATAATAATCAACCGATCGAGGTTATTACATCATAGCCGTCCACATAAGACATAATGAAACCGATCGAGGTTATTACATCATAGCCGTCATAATGATCAACAGATCGATAAGAGGTTATTACATCATAGCCAAAGAACAAACAAACATTACATATTAAGACGACGGAGAACCATCCATTCATCCCGTCCTATCCGAGAAGAAAAACGAAATTGGTGGATGATTGTCCGTTGCAAATGATAAAAGCGAGTTTTTCCGATTCTTGAAAGCATGGTATTTTTTCGTGCACTTCACACAGAAAAAATAGATATAAAATGACATAAACGGACAGTGCCAACAATCGACGAATTTTTTTGTCTTTTTACTGCCCTAGTTTAATGTTCAAAATGCTTAATTCCGTCTTTAGTGCTAAATACGCATATTTAAACTATAATGAATTGCTAATTTTAAGCAAATACTCTTACCAATTAACTCTTTCCATTGAAGAATTAACTAAGCCAGCAAGAAAACGTGGTAATTCTGATAAACCACCACGACCACAGAACAGCTGGATAATTTTTCGAAGAGATTATGAAGCGCATTTACGTTTATGTAATCAAGACGTCAAACAAAAAGTCAAAGAAACAGCAAAGGAATGCAGTTTAAAGTGGCAAGAACTATCAAGCGAAATCAAGCCTTTCTTCAAAATATTAGAAAAAATAGCTTATGAGAATCACAAAAGCTTATATCCTCGTTATAGGTATAAGCCAAAAAACGCAAAAGATTCAAGCATTAAGAAATGGGTTTTTCGCGAACAAAAGAAATACGCACCTACATCGTCACATAAACCTAGCTCAACGAGTAACAATTCACCTCCACAAGAACAAATTGTTAGGTCGTCCTCTTTGAATAGTACAACATCAACAATTGAATATAATCATACCATTATCACTATTTCAAAAATAATTGATGATGCTCATCTTTCCACTAATAATGCGAATGTTGGAAATTCGATCAACAACGCGTTTGATGAAATAATTTCATTGGATCAATTTCCTTTATCTGGACATATTAACGTTAATAATAATGCGGATTCAACAACCATTGATGATACACATCTTTTCACGATCAATACTAGTAATGATGTCGGAAATTCGTTCAACGCATTTAATGAAATAATTTCATTGGATCAATTTCCTATTTTATCCGGAAATGTTGATACATGTATTAACTTTAATAATCATGCGGATTCAATAACAATTAATGACACCACAATCAATACATGTACTAATTCGATCAACATGTCGAAGGTTAACGTTAATGAAATAATTTCAATATTAAATTTATCTGGAAATGTTAATAATGCGGATATTTATGAAGAAGCTTCTATCAATAACGCCTCGAACAACAATTCTTCACAACCAAACCAATTCATCACTAATAATCCAATAACACCGTCACTCTCGCAACTATTTATCCCAGAATATGATATATTAAATATCAATTTTGAAGAGTTATTATATGATAACTTTTCTTGATCGTTTTATAATATATAATTAAGAGATTTCACTATATAATACTAAGCATGATAATTCAATATAGATTCCCCTTGTTCCTCGCAATAAGATATGATTCATTTATTCATTAGATTAGTTGTTCGTTTATTCTTCGTTTAGTTTAATATTTGTTCTGTTTGTTCTTTCGATTAGTTTATTAATTCGTTGTGTATGTTCTATCATTAGTTTAATAATTCGTTGTGTCTGTTCTGTTTAGTTTATTAGTTCGTTGTGTTGTTTTTCATTTAGTTTGTTCATTTAGTTTTTAAATTTTACCAATGTTTCTTCTCCACCATCACCTTTTTCAGTTTGGGGAATGTGTCGATTTCTCAATCCTATTTGTAATTAGATCTTGTGCAATCGACGAATACGAGATTCCAATATTGTATTCTTGCATATATATGTGTATTATGTCTAGATCTTAAAGTCATTTCAATTCGAAATCAACATGTTCGCAATTCTATATTAACTACAATTTAAAGCGAATATAATCGATTTAAAAATTGAAGCAGTGTTTATAAGTATATAGACTAATAAAAATAGATTATTTATGATTGAAAATGTCTTGATAAATTTCTATGTTATTACAGTTTGCTTATTATTGTGCTTTATTTTGAGTAACATCCTAGGACACGAGATATAATTTTTCCAGAAAATTTTTTGCATGTCCTCAACCTCTCTTCTGACCAACAGAAAATAGGTCTCAAAAGACATGCACAAAGACGAACTTATTGTCACGTGATCTGAGTCCGTACGACGTACGCATTCACACCCTGCGAATTCCTTTACCCACAACAGCTATGTTTAATAATCGAATTAAAATTTAATATTTTTATGTAATATCTCGAAAACCAGTATTTTGATTCAAATAAAATTAATATTATTTAATTCACCTTAATATGGTAAATCGTATGGTGCTAATTTCATTTGAATTGAATTGAATCACTGGTTCCCAAAATGTTAAATTTATTAGAAATATATAAAGAATAAAATTTAATGTTTTGGTGTGATATTTCAGGAATCAGTAATTCAATTCAAGTAACTTCATTCTTATATAATTCATCATATCAAGACAAATCAAATGATATTAATTTTATTTGAATTGTCCAAAATATCATATAACCGCTAAATTTTATTTTTGATTCTTTGATTTTAAAATTGAAAATCCAGTTTATTTTTGATTCTAAACTTTGAAAATTATAAATTCCAGCTTATTTCCAATTTTAAAATTGGAGATAAACTGAAATATATAAAAATGTAGAAAATCGCAATATATTTAGAATAAAATAAAAATAATAAAAGCATGTAACTTATTGGAAATTTCAATTCCAAAAGTTTGTAAAGATAACAAAAAAGAAAATAAACAATAAAAGTTAAATAAATGAAAATATTCTCGAATACATCCAGAATGTTTCTTTTAAAAAACCAGAAAAGTTCCAGAGTCATTTAAATAGTAAAGAATAAAAACCGGAAATTTTCCGGGTAAAACTCGGACCTCGATTTGTTATAGGGCCCTTATTTGAGGCCGTATAGCTAATAGATTATGGTGCATAAAATCTAAAGTCATCAAACGTTTGTATTTTATAAAATGTATAAACTTCTTTACTAAGAAGTGAATACAAAATTTA